GTGTCAATGAAGGTCAGGATTTCAAAGCAATGGTGAAAATGGTGGCTACTATATATGCTGATGATCACATTGTGGAAATTGATTTCTATCTTAACTAAGAACTTGAACAAGAGCAGTTCATAATCTGTGTCAGTCATTCCCTGTTCATATGTTTGCTGTTGCAATCTTACATCTCCTTCTACCAATATTACGGTCAATATTATTTCTATGTACTTCCTCTGGTGATGCCCATGTATATAGGCTGTCGACTCACAAAGCATCCCTGGCCTGCTCTCGAGTTGCCATATGCCAGGGGGGATGGGAAACTGGCAAAACTGCACAGCAGCCAAAAACAGATGCACATTCCATGCTTATCTCCCTCAAGGCTGTATCCCAGGGATACCTACAGTAGTCGAAGGGGAGTTGATCTCTACAATCCATCCCTGGTGGGGAGGGGGGAAACAGGACCATAATTGGAGTGTAAATTACGTCGGGTCAGAGCTGGCTTCACTTGGGAACGTGCCGCCATGAAGCTCCTAATAAATGACTGGATTTCTTTTGAAGCTTGGCTCGAGACTCATGATTTAATTAGGGCATCTGTCGGAAGCGTGACATAGGCATTGTTGTGAAATCACTGGATAGGCAAGAATTTATAAGGCATTCTCTTGCTTCCTTCCAGTTTTATAGGTCATATCATACAAGTACATTTTTCTCCTTAATTTCCCTCACTTTGGCATGCCAAAGTATCCATACACAAGCCACACACTTTGCTTGCATGTGCTGCGCATTTCAAATGGAACTTGATTGTAAAACTCATCCAGCTCTTCTTTTGTGGTTCACTGGTTGAAACATAAACATGGATGGTCATCATATTAAAGGGTGTCCCTGAAGCCTAACTGATACTATGCAGTTACTGATTGGATTGTAGCTGTTCTCGCTATAACCTTTCTAATTGTGAAAGCAGTGTTATTGTTTTTCATGTCCCAGGCCATCTCAATTTTTTGATACCTAAAACATCATTTTTCACTAAAAGAGATTCTCAGTCATCCATTCATTCTTTTGAAGATGCTTTGCTTCTCATCCAAGAAGCTTCTTCAGTTCTGACAGGATAGCGGGGAATGGAAGGATTTATATTCCTTTGCATCCTTTTAGAGGGTTGTTGAAGCACTTGGAGGTTTATCAGTATCCTCAGCAAAACATCTTCAAAGGAAAAAACAAGAAAGTCCAGTTGCCTCCTGAAAAAGCACCTTTGGGGCAACCATGACCTGGATAACTGAGAATCTCTACAGACTTTTAGTTATACAATTTGGGATGAACACCCTTTGAATGGTGTGGGAGTAGAAATGGATTTCCAGAGGAAAAAATTGCAGACTACAGGAGCACTACTCAGGTGACCCCCCAAGGACACAGATAAACCTTCAAGTGCTTCAACGGTTTTCTAAAAGGATGCAAATTACCAGCTGTCTGCAAGGAATATAAATCATTCCATTCCCCACTATCTTGTCAGAGCTGAAGAAGCTTCTTGGATGAGAAGCGAAACGTCTTCAAAATAAAAAAGAAGAAAGTTCATCTTTCACTGTATTGAGCTTTCCTATGTCATTCAGATTGAAGTATTTTTTTATATTTGTTTGTTTGTTTGTTTGTTTGTTTTGCTGCATGGCAACCTCAGCAACTAAATGCTCCAGAGACTTTAATCTAATCATGTCATCAATACCACTAATACTGTGGTACTGTGGTGGCGCAGTGGTTAGAATGCAGTGTTGTAGGTTAATTCTGCTGACTGCTAGGAGTTTGATCCTGACAAGCTCATGCTGACTCTGTGAATAGCTCACAGTGCTGTAAATCGCTATGAAGGGGTATATAAATCTAAGTGCTATTCAGTGGTGGGTTGCTACCGGTAACCTTGCTGATCGGGCAAACCAGTAGCGGTGGCAATGGGAGGCTCCGCCCACCCACCCGGTTGTCTCTGCGTGCGCATGCGCAGAAGCTTCTGCGCATGTGCAAAAGTGTCACGTGTATGCACAAGCACGCGCACGCCCATGAATGAACCGGTAGCAGCCGAAATTGAAGCCCACTACTGGTGCTATTGCTATTGTTACTGTGAATGGTCTTCAGTTGTGCCTCAGTAACATGTTGAGTGTTGTCTGATCTGAGTGCTCCTTCATCTGGCAGCATATCTCCAACCTTTTATTATTTTTTGTCCATGTGGTTTTCTGGGTTTACTATTGCCTTTTCTCACACAGAATGAAATTATGCCTTTCCCTTTGTCACTGAAGTGATTATCTGCCTCTCATATCTTCCTATATTACTCACTGCTCAACATACAGTAGATGCCTGCTTATTTTGGGGGGTGGTTGGGATGACTCTCCCTTCTTGGATGACTCTGCAGGGACTCTTGGCATTTGGCCTGGCATTCTTCATTCATCCTCTGTCCTCAATGAAGCACCCCAGCAAAATGTAGGGAACTGGGTTTAATTGCTGTTATTGTACCTTAATTCTCCCTTCTTATCCCTTCAAGGTTGTTTTGTTCTTCTTTGTGCTCTTCAGGGAAGATTTATAACCTTCTTGTGTTATTAAACAAACTACAATAAGTTATTACTAGGAAAATGATACATACCCATTTAAATCTATATCTACATATATCTCTGTTATACATACACAAATCATTAATAATATACTAATTTTCTCCTTGTTAAATATCTATAAATAATTAAAACAGAATCAAATGTTTGGCTATATTTCATTAATTCTAATTTTAGAAGTCAGTAAAATGTATCTAGTGTTTTATAATTTTGCTTACTACTTTACATACTGCCAATTATCTATTTATCTTTATTTATTTCTTATTTGTTGTCCTGATAACGAAGTGTAAATTTTATCACAAAAGCAAAATCAGATATTTATCCTCTGGTTGTTTATCCTTGGAATAAATTTGCTTTTCATATACAGTATTATCCTGCTGGGTCAGTGTTATTCTCTTGTTGGGTATGAAAGGTATCCATATAATTAAGAACAATGAATATGACAGTTCATGGACCAATCTTTCTAAAATAATTTTATTAATCAACTTGTGTGTGTTTTGGCCAGTAGGCATTCTCACCATGAAAGATTCTGACATTTCTAACAGTTAATTGAGTACATCTGCCTCATCCAATTTATTTTAATTATTATGCAGTATATTGATGTTTACTGTCGTGCTGAATGATGCCTTCAAGGACAGCGATGCAGGAATCATCCTTAAGTACAGAGCCAATGGTAAGCTCTTCAAATTGAGGAGAAACCATTACCAAAATGAAGACAACTGTTTTAGAGACTTTTCCTTTGCTAATGACTGTGTCCTGAATGCTGGCTCAGAACTAGAGATACAAGTCAGTATGGACAAATTCTCTATGGTTTGTGACAACTTTGGACTCACCATCCATATTCAAACGACTGAAGTCATGCACCAGCTGGCTTCTCATGCACCATACATAGAACTCAAAATCACAATCAAAGGATAGAAACTCCAGGCAGTGGACCACTCAGTTACCTTGGTAGCACTCTCTCCCAAGTAGTGACTATTGTTATTGACAATAACTTCAGAGTAGCAAAGGCAAACTCTGTATTTGGCATATTGCATTCTACTGTGTGGGAATGTCAAGGAATTACTCCAGCAACAAATTGAAGGTCCACAAAACCACGGTACTCGCTACCCTTCGATATGCTTTAAAATGTGGACTATCTATCAAAGTCATGCTATATTGCTCATCCAATTCCACATGACTTATCTTTGCAGAATATCAATCATCAGATGGCTAGACAAAATCCCAGCCATTGAAGTTATCTCTAGAGCAAGTCTACCATCGATCTACATGTTAAGTCTAAAATCACTGCTACTCACTGCTTCAGTCACTCATAGTGTAATATTGGTGTTGTTTTTGTTGCATTGACCATATAATATCCATAATTTTGAAATAAATTACTTATTCTAGTTCAGATAGATTAGATTCATCTGCAACTGCATAAAAAGATTACCCTTCTCAGAAGGAATTAAGCATCCTTTTAAAAAATTAGGATGAGAAAATTAAATTGGAATTAATTAGAAAATTAACATAGATGACTATCTTTAATGAAAACTTTTAAGAAAGCTATTTTACATTATAGCGTTATTTTTTATTTTTTTGCTAACATATCTCTCTTCTTTAATCTGAACAACATTCAGTTTTGAATCTCTTTTGAAGACACAATTAATTTTCAGGTTGTAAATGCAACCTTTATTAAGCAATCTCCTACAATAGCCTTTTCTTTAATGTCCCATCTGGCCTACTTGTCTGTTCTGAAAGGATTTGTATTAACTTCTTCTCTAATATGATGTTGAATTTTTTACAAGGTTTTATGATGTTGAATGTGATTGGGAATGTTGTTCAGGTCAAATGATGTATTAAATTTCTACAATGGGTGATTCATGTTAAATGAATTTCGTACATGAATGACTAGATGGGAAATTGCCTTGACTTTCATGACCCACATTCTCCAATCATTAGGACTATGACATACATAATTTCTCAAAATATGTGATATTGACATTTAAAATGATAAGTACATGAAATATAAAATGTTTATTAAATAACAATAGCTCATTGACATTTTTAGGCTGTCAGAAGAACTATCAATACAATCAGGAGTAAGAATTCTGAGTTTTACTCTGCAATCCAACAAAAGAAAGAAGAACATTAGATTGGGATTCCTCCTGTTGGTTTTGAATTCAGAAAACTGTGTATCTTAAACACAAAATATTGAGGAGGTCATGGTTTTCCTATAGTGTCATGCTATGCAGATAAGGTTCTCTCTAATGAGGATTCCAATTATCAGGATGCCAAGTACACCTAGCATGGAAAAAAAAACCTGACTCCTAAAACTCCAGAGGTTGTGAATGCTCCAACACTGGAAGTTTTTAAGAGGAGATTGGATAACCATTTGTCTGAAGTGGTGTAGGGTTTCCTGCCTAAGCAGGGAGTTGGACTAGAAGACGTCCAAGGTCCCTTCCAATTCTATTCTATTCTATTCTATTCTATTCTATTCTATTCTATTCTATTCTATTCTATTCTATTCTATTCTATTCTATTCTATTCTATTCTGTAAACTTTATAGCTGCAAAATCTACCTTTGAAACTGCAAGTACCATTTCCCAATCAAGTGGACAGCCACAGGGCTGAAGTTCAAAGAAATACACAATCAGTAACCCCAGTTGTTTGATGTTTGGCCAGAAGAAATGCTCAAGCTTAACCATTAATATCTGATTGATTTATAACAGCAAAATGATGTAATTTGCAGAAAAGGAATAAGAAGTAGCAAGCACCAGGTAGACCTATCAATACTGACTTCAGCCACCAATATTGTTTGGCTTACTTGAGTGTTTCATCCAATGCTTTTTTTTTTAAGCTACTGCCAGCTGAGATACTACCTCAATCATTGCACCTGCAGCATTCTCTGCCAACAATAAGGATATACCCATTAGTTTTAGCATGTATGTATGTATGTATATACGCATCTGTGAGATGACCAGCACATAATTTGCTTAGAGAGGAGGGGAAGAGAGAGGGGGGAGAGAGAGAGAGGGAGGGAGGGAGGAGGAGAGAGAGAGAGCAAGAGAGAGAGAGACTCCCATCTTTCAACCATCTCTGGGCAGCTTCCAATCAAAGACTAAAAGACACATAAAATCCCATTAAAACTATAAAACCAAACAGAGTAAAATATTAAAAACAACAAAAACCTGGCGTCAAATCAGAGTTCTAAAGCGTGATTATCTAGTCTTCCCCTAGACCTCGGAGGAAAAGCCAAGTCTTGTAGATTTAGCCATAAATGTTTTTCCTATACAAATGAGGGTCTCTAATCTAGAAACTGTTTTGCAAGCCAGTATAAGGTTGCCTACATCTCACAAACTAGGAGGACCATGCAATGCATTGATACACATTTATGTCAAGCTGGCCTAAAGTGGATAGGTCAAGTGTATGAGTTTACCATTGAAAATTCTTTGCTATATTTTGAAATATTTTCCCATTAGCTTTACAATTCTTTAAGTGTGCAGTAGTAGCCAACTTCATTTTTAATTCCACATTGTACTTTGTTTTTTTGCGTTTCTTCAAATCTATAATTATATTTTCAGAAAATGTGCCAAGAGATTAAATAAATCCCAAAAAAGTATATTGGGCACAGAGGTAGCATATAAACTGTAAAAAAAAAAAAAAAACCAATGTTTCATGATTGAATACATTAACATAAATTGCATAATTGTACTTCTCCTTTAATTATGGGTTTCTGCAATTGCAATGTCTTTGCACATGGTTGCACATCTGGCTGACTGGCCTCTGCCCTGCAGCAAATGCCTATTGATAGACAAAAAAAGAATGCATTACTGAACATACTTGAAACTAAAACTTCTTTCACTGTGAATTGAAGGAAGAATAAAGACTGGATAACTCCACTATATCATAAGTATAATATATATCTGGATGAGTTTGGAATTAATTCCAAAAATAAACATAGTTTTTCTTAGTCAGAAAAATTATTAAATCTATATATATATATATAAGTGAAAACCACTCACGCCATAATCACGAAATCTCCAGAACAGTAAAGCCTACAAACTTGAAATTTGCCATGTAGGTTTCTCTTGGCTTTTAGGTGCTCACTAAGAAAGGATTTTTCAAAATGACCATCAGGGCATTAGTATTTCCTATATTATTATAATACGCTCTGATGCTAATTAGTTAGATGTTCTACTTCCCCTCCCAACTTGAAAATAACTCTGGAGATAATGGGATAGCATAGTACAGGCTTCTGTGGGGTAAGCCTCATGGAAAAAAGGGGCTAGAAAGCCTGAGGGAGAGAAGGGGATAGCATAGGAGACGTTTCTGTGGGACAAGGCTGAGGGAGAGAAAGGGAGAGGAGAGGCTTCTGTGGGGCAAGCCTGAGAGAGAAAAGGGGATAGGAGAGGATCTCTGGGGCCAAACCTGAGGGAGAGAAGGGGACAGGAGAGGATCTATGGGGCCAGCCTGAGGGAGAGAAGGGGATAGGAGAGGATCTATGGGGCCAGCCTGTGAGAGAAGGGGATAGGAGAGAATCTATGGGGCCAGCCTGAGGGAGAGAAGGAGAGTGGAAAGGATCTGTGGGGGCAGCCTGTGGGAGAGAAGGGGGTAGGATAAGAGAGGCTTCTGTGGAGCTAGCCTGATGGAGAGGCTTTTGTGGGGCCAGCCTGAAGGAGTGAAGGGGAGAGGAGAGGATCGATGGGGCAATCCTGAGGGAGAGGAGAGGAGAGGAGAGGCCGATCGTAACTACTCATTAATTTTCAAACTTTAAATGTCGATTTATCAAGCCCGATCACATAGTTTCGTAGCGGAGCACAGGTATTTAGCTAGTGTAATATATTTTTCAAAAGTATTTTAAATTTTCCTATCTACATACTTTCTGAATATATCAAAAGCAAATATATGGAAAGGACTATTTCTGAACAAAACTCTGCAATTATTTAACTTTCACTGTATTTTTGGAAAATGATGGATTGGATATATAATTCATCCAAAATACAAATAATTACCACTAATTATGATTCTTTAGAATTTCTTGCTTTTCTTCCTGAGCTTTATTTTTGAGGTTTTAATTTATTTTGTTTTAGTTTACAGAATTGTAAAGTATAGCATTACACACAGTCATTTCCAAAGATTAAATACAGAAAGCAAGAACTCTTTATTAAGTTTATTTTGAGATAATATGGTCCTTACTCTTTTAAATTTGGGATATTTAGCTAAATATATTTTAAAAATAACTTTAAACTTGTTATAATATCAGGAAAATCAATATATTGTAAAGAAATCTAAATTAATTTGCAGATACAAAATATTATTAGTAAAGACTTTTTTTAAAAAAAATATCTAGGTGTAAAAATTTTCTATTATGTCAACTGTCACAAAGCATTAAACCATTTAAAACTGGGAGAGAAGAATGAAGTATTGAATATAAATTATTTCTGTGTTGTAGACCACTGGAATATGATTCAAAGAGATAAAGAGATAAGTCATCCAGATAACTATTGGGTATTGAGTGTTGTTCTGTTGTATCTGCAGAAACCTTTCCTTTCTTTTACTGATAAAATTTTTGATCAAACATCTGCTGGAAATCTCGGGAAGTATTGAGAAGTTTCAAAACAAACCTAATCCTGCAAAATCAACCACTTTTTAGTTGGAAAGGCTTGTATCCTTTTCTGGTTTCGCTCCTCATTTCCTCATCCATGAACAAATCTTGAAATATTGAATGCTGGCTTTTTAGCCATCTGTAACTATGCTGATAGGAGGTAATCAGTAATAAACTATTTGGAGTGTGATTTCATCCTGGCTATGCTGTAGCAATGTAGGGAAGCATAAAAGGATTTACAGTTGAGTATGTCATAAACAATTGGGTCCATTATATTCTTCTTGACCTGGCATTCTCCAGAGCTATTGGGGCTGTAACAGTGGTGGGTTTCTCCCGGTTCTGTCCAGTTCTTTTGAACCAAAAATAATCTTGATTGTGAAATTGAATATAGGTTATGTAGTTGGGGGGGGGGGGGGGGGGGCACATGACTTAAAATTTTAACCATACCATCTTCAATTCCACACTGAGTACTACACAACCCTTGGTGCTACAGTAAAGCCTGTCAGATATGTTTGAATGAACAAAAAGACTTGATCTTGGTTATTTTGATCAGCAACAATATGAATATCACAAGAACCTGGTTGTCGATTATAAAGCTGTCTCTTTCCAAGGCTCTAGCTTTCTTTCCATTATATTCAATGAGAAACATTTTTCAGGGATGATTAATAGTGCAATTTTTCTAGAAGTTACTTTTATCCGTTGTATCTTGATTTGTGAACAAGAGGCAAGGGGAAGGGGAAAGGTTTACACTCATTTGTTAATCTCTGCGTTTGATATTCTGCCATTCAACGAGGAGTGCTATGACTTGCAACAGCCACATGCTGTTTTCAAATTAGTTTTGTGAATGTTCCCATTTGCTAGTTGACTTCGAAATCTGTTTATTTCAATGCCTTTACTAAGGAAAGGCAAAAGGAGACCTTTATGATGCTTATCAAAAGCCCAATTAATGTCAGAACAATTTAACACACATCGCCTTTTCCAGGAGTGTAGCCCAACTCTTTAGGGAAGAAAATTTTTAAAAAGCTATTTTAAAAGTAAGCGTACGATACCAGGTAAAATAATAGCAAAATGGCATTTTCAATTTTTTTTATGGGCAGGAAATAAGAAGAGAAGTGCTTGCACTTAGCTAGCACTCTAGAAGATTGTCCCATCTCCTTCTGTAAACTTAAAACTTATTCCAAAAATCTGTTATGCTCCAATGAAGTATAACAATGAAATTTGGCAGGGGAGGAATGGGACCAGCAGTTTAGTTTACTTGTTGTTGCTTTGTTGTTGTTGTTTGCAGTGCTCTTAAGTTTAAATGATGAAAATCTGTTTTTAATACATAAGTCTACTACTGTATATGGAATAGGAGTTCTACATATTTCATCCCTCTTTTCATGGCAAAATCTCGAGCATCTGCCTGCTGATTTAAATATGCTGAGTGACTGAATGATAAACTACATTTCTTTGAAATGCCAGTGTTTGTTATTAATAAGTAGATTCATGCCAAGACATTCCTTTGTTATGCAAATCTTGACTGGGAACATCAAATTATGTTACTTCCTCAAGTTTTCCTCCACGTTAAGTGGTTTCTGAAATTTCAAACTATCAATAGCAGAACAAGCAAAATTGTGGTTTCTGGATATTTCAATTCCCATATACTCCAGTCAGTAATAATTGATTGTGATTGTTATAGTTCAAAACACCTCTCCCAGCTACAAACTATGATTGAGCACTGCTATCTGCATTTTTTAAAAAAAAAATCTGCTGATTAAAATAATTGAAATTAAAATTACAATGAACTAGATAAAGGAGAATGGGAAAACAACATCATAAGCCTCTCTGACAAATGACCCACATACACACACAAACACACACACACTCCCACACGCATGCAGATAACAGTGACCTGGAGCAAGCAATAACGGAATATTGCTTCATTGTATTATTCGTATAATACGAAACTTCGAATAAAAGCCTTAAGGGAAAAAAATAAGGAAGTATCAGTATATGGGGGGAAAAAATGACATGCACTTGAGGAAAAAAAGAGCTATGAAAAAAATTATGTTGGGCAGAGACTGGAGAGAGGTTTGTTGAAACACAGGGCCTGGTGGCTCAGCAGACTGATAGCATTGTGATTAACACCAGCTGTCTGCAATTACTGTAAGTTCGAATCTCACCAGGCTCAAGGTTGACTCAGCCTTCCATCCTTCCGAGGTGGGTGAAATGAGGACCCAGTTTGTGGGGGCAATAAGCTGACTTTGTATAAATATACAAAAGTATGAAGGCTATTGCTTAACGCATTGTAAGCCGCCCTGAGTCTCCAGAGAAGGGTGGCATATAAATCAAATTTTAAAAAAAAATAATAAAAAAAAAACTTTATTGAACTATGGGTGACTTTGAACCAGTGCCTTTTTCTTAGATTCACTATGACACGCTATGGCTATTATTGTGAGGATAAAATAAGATGATCTAATGCAGGGGTGTCAAACTCAAGGCCCGTGAGTTGGACCTGGCCCATGGGATGCTAAGATATGGCCCACAGGGCCACCCTGGAAACAGTGAAGAATCGGCCCGTGGTGCCCCTGCCAGCAAAAACGGAGCTCGGGAGAGGGTTGCAGGAGGCCATTGCAGCCAAAAATGGAGTTCAGGAGTCACAGGCGCCCCCGACACAAGGACATTGAGCTGGCCATGTCCACCCTGGCCCCTTAAGGTCAAACAAAACCCTGATGCAGCCCTCAATGAAATCGAGTTTGACAACCTGATCTAATGTGTACTTTGCTGAGCTTTTCTAAAGGAAACATGTACATTTCAAATGGTGATGGCATAACTAGTATTCTAGTTTTTCTGTTTCGTACTTAAGAGTTCACTAAAATTGCTTGTCTCTATAATACTAAATTCTGATTTCCTTCCTATCGTGTTCAGATAATAACTGCAGATACCATGCTTCTGGCGCACTTCCAGTTTTAGGATCTATCATCCCCAAAGGAAACAGGGAAAGGTGAATGCAAATAAGTTATAGCTCCAATATCGACAACTCATTTTTGTAGGATATACTTTAGTAATGGCTATTACGAGCTACAAGATTGCTTTGATTCACTGGACCTTTTCATTTTGACATTATAATGAATGTCAAACATTTCTGGTTTCCAATTCTACTTCTAATGGCATTCCTGTTGATTTCCGCTGAAATATATATCTTTCAAACAAAGCA